GTGTTCAAAATAGATTATTGTCTGTCCCAACATCATCTTTTGGTGCCCTTGTGAAGGTGGCTTTTTCAGTTGAGAGCTGTGCATCAGTAACTGTGTTGACATATACTCCATTAGTCAATGATGCAGTGGGAGGCAGATGACACACTGAAAGGGAAAAGTGGAGAAGAGCTTTAATGAAAGATAATCTTCAGAGACTTGGGTAGGGTTAGGGAGGCAGCAAGGGATAGGAGGCTGGTATCCCTGAGGCCTGAAAAGGCAAGGAGTGGAGTGTTTTCTCAAGCCTAGGGAAGATGGTGGTCTTGGGAGAGAAGCCCTAGACAGGAACCATGGGTGTAGGTAGTAGCATGTAGCCACTGTCCCAATAACAAGAGACCAGAGGAACCCATACCCTGATCTCTCTCCTATCACCCTCTGATCAAGGCTAAGGAAGTGCTGACGATTCATCCTTGGTAACTGCATCCTCTAGCAGGGAGTGCTGTCCTGCTGAAAGCCAGTAGCAAGTTGGTTTGGAGTGATGGAACTTGCTACTTGGGCTTGTGTGTGTCCCCACCCAATTGGCTATGACATTATTCAAATTGTGAGGGAAACTTCTACTTAGTTGACTCCTGAATCAAGTGACTCTGCATTAGACTATCTTTCCTATAAGAAATGTGAAGACTGACTCCGGATCAGGAGGATTTCTGAGGTGTTTGATCAAGAGATTTAGAGAAGATTTGTGCTGCGTGTGCCTGTGGCAGAGGGATGCACTCATTCAAACAGGAAGTACTGGGATAGAGAGAGCCACTGAGGCAATTATCTGGCACCCCTACACATGCCAACCCCTAATGCATGCTCTTCCTTCCACATCCTGCTCTGTGCCCAGTGGGGGCTGACTTCAAGGCCTGTGTTACCCAGACTCCCATGCTGGCTGGCTCCCAGAGGGGTTAACAAACAAGAGAAGCCTGCAGGAGCTCCAGGGATGGGAAGAGAGAGAGGTTTGGGAACTTTATTGCCCTGGGTCTCAACAGTAGCTGTATCCCTCCATCACTACAATTCCTACTGGGAAGCTGTCCTTCAAGTCTTCAGGTTTAATTGAGCACCTGTAATACCATTTAATTCCTGTGTCCTTGCAGCCCTAGGTATGCTTATGGATTCCGACAGGTGGCTGGTCCTTGGGTACCTTGCTGTCCTTGGTACATTCCTTCAGCCTGGTTCCCACCACTATCAGAGCTCTAATCATTAAACTTTCTTCATTTGAACCATCTGTGATGGTTTGTGAGTTGAATCTTTAATAATCCTGATTTACTCATGACTTCTTATCAGCTCACAGAAGGTACTCAATCCAGGATCTTGAATGGGATGGCTCTGAGGCATTTTGATATCCCAGAGGTATGAATAAATAAGCTCTAAAATTTACTTCAAAGATGGAGGTATTCTACTATAGATTCCAAAACTATGAGGAATTAGAAATGATCCATAGTGTCATGCATGGCCTTGCCACTTAAGAATCATTAAATGTAGTATATCTGGGTCATACTTAATGTTAACAAGGTCAGAATAGTGAGAATTGACCTTCTCTACAATTTGGGTTTACAGAAAAATTCCAGATACTTGTTTATGTTTCTTGTGTTTTAAAAAATCCTGTCCATTTTGAATCAAGGGTTTCTTCTCATTTTATACTTGTAGAGACATAAGGAAAATGAGATCTTAGGGTCCTGCGTGATTAGCCCCTCAAGATACCACTGGGCAGCAACAACACACTTTTATACTTGTTCTTTGGAGATTTTCTTGGTTGTTGTCCTTAGTATGTGGCCATAACTGAAGCAAAGTGAGCTTTGAAAGTTGTCTTTGAAACTGTGGACCTATTGAGGTTAGAGTGGTTTCCTGTCCCCATTAAGAAGAATAGTATCTGTCACATACATTGATAGATGACTGCTTCTCAGAGATTTGCTTGGTAAAAGGGCATGGAGATATGTGGGATTCCCACACCCTCTACTGCCCCCCAAGGAAATGAGTTATTCCCAGAAAGCTCTAGTGTCTTTAATATGGGAGGCATATTTTAGTACACACGTCTTGAAGTCACTCCATCAATCTGGCTTTGTTTAAATTCCCTGAGAAGCACTGCTATGGGAAGGATTGTTAAATGTTTCCAAAACATGTTTTGAAAAGAAGCCACCAAGAGAAACAACTTGCCAAAAATAATTCACTTCTCCGTTGCAGGGCTTTGCACATCATTTGCTCTAAAGAAATGAAAACCCCAACCCTCAGACCAAAGAGTAGCCCATATTTTGTGGCCTATTGACCTGACAAGTTTTGCTTGGAAAGACACATGCAGGCTTACTGAGGGCTCTCAGGTTCCACAGTGGAGAGCAATGGTGGCCAATGGGACTATGGCACAAGGCTGAGTTTCTGGAACCTTGACCCTTGTTCTCCCTTCCTTCCTGCCTACCTGCCCCAACACTAATCTTGTACTTTCTCCAGCTGCCAGCTGTAAATACTGCCTTTGTTTTGAGGAAATAACTTGGACCCTTCCCCACTGACTTCATTGTGTTTTTTTACCTGTCTACCATCTAATTTCAGAGTGGTGACTCTCTGGACTGCTTCTGTATCTGGTTCAGTTCATGTCTCTAACAACTCTCTGACAACTCCTTTAGAATCCAGCCTTCAATTCTCACTCCAACTGGATCTTGACCCTGAGGTGCCAAATCCCTGATATAATCCTGGGTTTTAGAACCTAACCATGTGGGCTAATCTCCAGTCCCCATGTTTTCTGTGCCCTCATGGTGTGTGTGTGTGTGTGTGTGTGTGTGTGTGTGTGCGTGCGTGTGCATGTGTGATGCAGAGGATCAGACTCTTTTCTTGGCCTCAAAATCTATCACTGGTTCCTAATGATAAGGACAATGCAAATTGAAACAATGAAATACCATTCACATTTACCAGATAAATAAAAATTAATTAAATCTGATGACAATAGGGATGGTGAGATGTGGGCACAAGGGAACTCTCTGGTGGGAGTGTAAATTAGTACAGTCACACTGGAAAACAATATGGCAATATCTTATGAAGCGCATGGTGCATTTCTGCTATTGAGATAGCAGTTCTACCCTTGGGTATATAATCTGGAAGAACCATTCCATAGCTGTACAGATTTGTGCTTGTGTGTGTCTATATAGATAGACATATATACAAAATACAGGAATACATATGTACACACATGCAAATATGCACAAACACAAGAATCTACTGTTGTGGTTTATGGAATGTGTAATGGAATTGAATACTGGAAGTTTATGTAAATATACTGAGCCAACTTTGTATGAACATCTGTAAATTTTAAGACAGTTGCATGAAAAAGCAAATTGTAAAATAATGTTACACATATATGCATACTTATATATAACTGTAATTAAAATGTAAGCAATATTACCTTTCATATCTATTAAAAACAAAAACATACATGAGAGTGATATAAGATTAATGGTTTTATCTTTGAGGAAGGAGAGGGAGAGGATAAAGAAGTGCAGATTTCATGGGGAGAGAGGGATGATGAAAAGTTGGTCAACGGAGTCTAAGTCACAATTAGGTCTGAGCAAGACATGCTGGTGTGTTGCTCAGTAGAGTGGTTATACATAACAGTAATGTACTGTGTATTCCAAAAAGCTAAAATAAAGGACTCCAGCTTTCTGTTTTAACCATAAAGAAATGAACTGTTTGAGGAAATAAATATATTTAACTTGACGTAAGATTGTACAATATATATCTGCATCAAAGCATCACATCCATTAAAATGTACAAACTTTGTTTTTCTGTATCCGTTAAAATAAATTAAAAGTAAAATTAAAAAAGAAATGGAAATTGTATATGTTTGAACATTTTTATTTATTTGAAGGGAGAAATGAAGAAAGGAAAGAAAAAAGAGGAAGACACAGACAGAGAGAGAGAGAGAGAAAGAGAGAGGGAGAGAGAGAGAGGGAATATTATCTGAAGCCAGTATGACAAAATACAGAATGTTTAATCTGGGTGATACACTTACAGAGATCTAGTATGCTATTTCCTCTATTTCTTAGTATGATTGAAATGTTTCGTATTTACACATTTAAAACAGAAAGATAAGTATTTGTCAGATCTACTTTTTTTTTACCAACTGATGCTAATTTGCAGTCAAATGCTCTACCCCTGAGCTACACCCGCTGCCACTGATGCTAATTTGAAGATTTATAGACATGTACTTTCAGGTAAGGACTTCCAAGAACATCTGGTCAACCTTATCCTGGTTCCAGAACCTCATTTGTGAGTTGCCTATAGCTTTGTGCAAACAACTGGTTTGTTGGGGATCTCTAACCACAGAGATTCCTTAAATGGAACTCTGGGGGAAGTTACTGCTTGCTTTAAGCTGGAATCAAGTCGCCCTCTGGATTTTAAACCAGCTCTGATGTCTCATCGTCAATATGTGCACCACCAGCAGTGCATCCTAGAGCTACTGAGGATCAGTGCCTTCAGCCAGTCTCACAGGGGAACTAGGGAAGAAAAGAGGAAGCTGAGAGGCTGGAGCAAATATCGGGCATTCATCTTTGGAAAGATGGGCTTGTGACCAGCCAGGAAAGAGTCGCCAGGACCAGAGTGCTCAGAGAGGAGGAAGCTGGGCTCTCAGGGAGCAATTCCGTCGATGTGGGCTAAAATGTGCCTGGGTGCTGTTTCTTTCCCAGGCCTCACTTCCCCAAACGGGAGCACGTGCGCAGCTGTAGGTGTCTGGCAGCAGCACCCTGGGATCTTTACAGCCAGGCCAGCAGAAGAGGAGGATCTGAGCCAGTGACTCATGGGGACCCTCCAGGGTACCCTCTTCTTTCAGTTCTTCTATGAAATCAGCTAAAATAGATAGTCACATGCTTGTCCCATCTGCCCCAGTCATCCTGCAAAAGAAAGTCCCACATCAGAAACAAACCCCAAAAAACAACAAAACAAAACAAAACAAACTTCCTCTTCTGATTCTCTTGTGTCCAATAAAATAGAGCCAAACTCAAGGCCTAGCTAACAGGTAGAGGAACACTTGATAGGCACAGACAACTCATGACTCTGTCTTGCAAGCAAGTCAGCGATTCCTCTAATTCTCAGGATGGTCATCTGTGTTTTTTGGTGAGCTGAGGTCCCCATAGTCCCTAAGCTCTTCTTTTAGGTGAGAAAGGTAAAGGTTTTGGAAGAAAGGATCCTCTGCCTGGGTAAGGTTTGGAATCAGTTCAGCTTTAGTCTAATGTTTCTTATTTAAATGCTCTGGAGTGAGAAGGCTTGAGCTCCCTGGGATGGGGGCTGCAGCTGTGGCCTCCTTCTCAGTGATGTAGGGAGATGTCATGATGCTGCAGTATCTGTAAGCCTGTCGGCTGGCAGTCCTTATCTTGTGTGTCCTCTGGTTACTGGTTCAGTAGTATAGAAAATGATTCTCAAACTTTTCTTCCTCTAGGGTCCCTTGGGAGCTTTGTGAAATGGAAGAGAGGTTCCAGGTGGGCCTTGGACCAATTGAACCAGGGTCTTTGGGAGTTTTAAGACACCCTGGATAATACTGAACAAACCAAGTGGAAGAACCGGTGCTATCCTGGGAGTACCGGGAGGGTCTTAGGCTGGTTTGAAAAAACAGCAAATGCCAGAGATTTCATTATGTTAATTATGACTTAAAACCTCTTGGGGGTTTGCTCTTGACCAGGTGCTGTGCCAAATGTTTTCTGTGGATTATCTAATTAAAATTTCAAAACAACATGATGAGATAGGTTATTTATTTTGTAGAAGAGGAAATTGACCTTCAAATAAGTTAAGGTATTTGCTCAAGGGATGCAGCAGGAGTATGAGATTGGAAGGCATCCTGACTTCAGAGGTTGAACTTGCACTGATGATGTTTACACACACACACATACACACACACACAGACACACACACACACACACTCACACACTCATATACATACATAGGCACAATTTAGGAATGTCTTTTGCAATAAATATTTCTTTAAAAGGTTTCATTTGCCATCTATTTTCAGCTGATATCCAGAAACTTGATTTCTTGGACACTACAATTCTTTTTTTTTTTTTTTTTTTTTTTTTTTGAGACGGGATTTTTTTTTGAGACAGAGTCTCTCCATGTAGTCCAGGCTGGCCCGGAACTCATGGCGATCCCCCTGCCTTAGCCAGCTGGAGCAATAGGAAGGATGTCACAATTCCTGAACTTTCTGATTGTCAGCTTTTCACTGAGCATCACACTGAGGCAGGTGTGGCTTCAGCGCTTGGTATTTAGATACAAAGGGTCAGAGTTGTTTCCAACTGAAGGGGTAATGTGAACACACTTCAATTTTAGGAGACCTGGAAAACTGGTAAAACATCTCACTTTGCAAGACAATATGGTGACGTAATGGAAAGCATGAATGAGATCAGGGTTTATCTTTCCTCTATTTCTGACCTCTGTAACTTTGAACTAGTCACTTCCTTTCATTGGGCTTCAGCTTCCTTAGTCTGAAACAAGGAAATCAAGTCAAGTGTTTTGTTAAAAGACCTTCCAGCTCTAACTCTGATCCCCTTAGAATTCTGAAGTCTCAGCAGGCTGACCTGTGGCCATTGGTCCATTTACTCATGCCTGAGTATTGTATTTGCAGGACTGATTTCAAGCTTACAGTCAGTGATGAACAGGGAGTCACTACCAAATAATTAGTCACTCAGGTAGCAGTAGATGGTCCAGGAGTGACTGGAAAAGTTTCACTTATTATGTAATGAAGAATCTGTGTGTAAAAATGAACTTCATATGGATTACAGTTGAAATACAAAGAAAACATGTAAAGAAAGTGAACCTCATACCCGATGCCTGGGCTCTGAACTGGCTGTGTAGGCCCTGACACTGCTGTGGCTGAGAGAGTCTGCTGCTAGTTGGGCTTGTGGGAGAGACCAACTCTCTATTAGAGTCTATCTCTCAACTTTGTGGGTCCTAAGACTTGACTCCTGAGATCTGCCTGGAGAGGAACACTATGATAAGCAATGGATAACCTGGTTAACTTGCAAAAGAAGAGTTAAAGAGTTACCTGGCCCTCAGGGAAGAACCTCCTGCCCCAGTCCAGTGTAGGGGGATTGGCAGTGGAAATGTGTCCATTGAACACGGTATCAAGACAGATGAATGGCCTGGGAAGACATGACTTCAGACTGTGTTGTGGATATTCACATCCCAGGGACTATTCCCACTTTTCAGCAGCACCCCGGTTTGCTTTTAGGAAACTTTTATCTCTCCTCTACACCCTTCAGGCTTTTGGACTGGTTGGACCAATACCCTCCTATATCAAAAGTAAAAGGCTCCTCCTAAAGGAACCTTTTCCAAGGCTGACATGTGACCTCCACTTGATCCTTTATTCTCTCTCCCAGACCTGATGCCTTAAATGGAATATGCGTGTAGTATACTCTTGCTGGGGAGGGCACCCAGGTGAGGCTATATAGTATCTTTGCAGACCAAGACTTTCAGGTTCTCACCTGTACTGAGCTCACTTTCCAGCTCTCGCTGGTGGCTGTGCCTTTGCATGGTGGTCTCTCCAGTAGAGGACACTTTACTCCTCACCCCCAGCCTTTTTTCTGAAATAGTCCAGAATCCGTAGCTGCGTATGCAGCCAAAGACCTCGAGAGACACCAGTCCTGACCAGACTTGATTGAGCCTTCTTTGCCTTGCACAGGTTTTGCCTTCTAATGATGTGGTTCCTGGCCGCCTACCAATAATCGCCTTTTTCACCCATGGAAGACACAGATGAATACTGACACCCTGACCTTGCAGTTCCCCTTTCACTGTGTGCTTACCCTCTTTCTGTTTGTATGGAACTTCTCCAGGCAATATACAAAACCATTGATCATTTCCATTTGCTGAATGATCCATTCATCACTGATCCATTTGTCAAATCCAATTGTATTGCAAACCTATCATCTTGAAGGAATCTCATGTGCTCCCAAACTCTTTCAGCACATACTTGCAGAAATTCATTCAGGTGATTTTCCCCTTCATTGAGATAATAGCTAACCACACCTCTTGTGCATAAATTGTACCAACCTAGCTTTTGAAGGCAATTGCATTTCTCAGTTCTTGAAAATCACCTGACTTCTATTCCTCAGGTACCACTTAGACGTTGAAACTCATCTTGAAATGATTAAAAGCCCTTTGAAAATTCTGTTATCTATGATTTCTGACTGTAGACAGCCTTCTCTGCTCAAGCTCATATATTAAATCTTCAATGTACATGAGGCCCAGAATGATGAGGTGCTAGGGTTGGGGGACAGGATGATGGAAGCATATAACAAGAAGGATTCTAGTTTTAGTGTTTGAGAACATATTGGAGAACGTGAAATAATCATAGAATGATCCATGCCTTCTCCTCCAAGGCCTCTATGGTGGCCTCTGACAAGAGTTTTCAAATTGTTTGAAAGCTTTAGTTTTTGTGTGACAGCCTCCAGAGTGGGACAAGGAGTGGGACAAGGAGGAGAGGCCCTACCTACTGTTCTTCTACAGGATTTCATTGGAACATAGCTCCAGGACTAAAGATGGTTTGTGGACCACAGGATTCAATCTTTTGCTTGTACACAAGGTTTTCTGAACCTTCCCAAGAGTTAAAGATCTAAACCCACACTTATAGGGGATTCCTAGCTGTGCTGGGGCCTTCCTGCCACCCTGCCCTTTAACAGGTAACTCTCTGCCTTCTATACATCGCTGACATCCCCTTCCCCAGTCATACCCCACTGTGATTTTAAACTTCCTGAAGGCACATGTTTGTGGAATTGAGGAGTGGATTTTGCAGGGCCATCTGTTAAGTGTTGGCAGGATTCAGTGATTAAGATTGTTACTGGCAGGGTGGTTACTGGCAGGGAAGACTTCCTCAGGAAAAGATATCATGTATTAGGCCTTCTAGAAACATGGCATTTGGATTCATGAAAGGAAGGAGGAAGATGTTTCAGACATGGAAACTCCGCTAAGCAGAGTCTTGGAGTGGAGTTTATGACTATTCCACGGAGTAGTGAAGAGCCATGGGGTAGAATCCAGGACCTCACTGCAGACCAAATGAATGAGGATCTCTGCAATGGGCCTGGAACTCAGTACTTTTAAAACTTCCCAGATGAATCCAAGGTGCAGTCAGGGTGAGGACAGTCTTGGGCTCAAGTCATAGAGGAGATGTAGAAAGAAAGCCTGGCTTTGAAGAAGGAATATTACTGATGGAACTTCTATTTTTGCCTAGGGGCTTTTTATTTGAACTATAGAATATTGTTGTGCTTTCAACCTACAGTGATTTTCATATCCACAGACTAGGTTTTATGGCAGGTTAACTGGTTAAGATTGAAGCTGAAGGAAAGGGTAGGAAAAAGTCAGCTAGTAGAATGGCACAAAGTTCTAGGAGAGAGGCTTTCTTTCAGGTGCTGAGCAGAAAAGGGAAGATAAAACTATAAGAGACAATGAACAGGAAGAATTAAAGAACTTGGTAGGATAAGGAAGTGAGGAAGTATTTCTAATCAAGCACAGCAGTAATGATGGAAATTTCTCTGTGCAGGAACAGTCCTAAAGTTGTACAGGCAGAGAAGCTGGGGATGGTACTCTGCCCACACACCCCAGTCCTCCTGGAAATTAGGACCTCGTTCCTCCTTTTGATCTTAATGTCTTCTATACGATCAGTGCATTTTAATTTCATCACTCTTTCCTTGAGAAACTACAGGGGACTCTACTGATTTGCTCACTTCCTCACCATCCATACTCTGTCTAACCCTCTACACTTCCCACCTTCCCTCAGTCTCTCTTGATGGTCTCTAGAGGTCTCACTGTTCAAAACCCAGAGACTTTTCCCCAAGCCTCATTCCACTGTATCCCTTGGTTGCATCTGACTTCTTGCTAAAGCTTAACACACTTGGCTTCCTGGCTAATGGATGCTCCTGGTTCTTTTTCCACCATTCAGATGCTCCTTCTCCGACTGGCATTTTTCCTTCCACCTATCCTAGGCTCACTCAGGGTCTGTCCGTGGCCCTATCTGCTTTCTTTGATTTCTTGGTGACTCTACATTCTAGCTCCCACTTTTCCACTTCTACCAGGCAGTTGTATATTCACCACTCGTTTGGCCCATGGATGCCTCACACGCATCACTACATGCCCATGTTTGCAGAGTCCTACCTTGTTTAGTGTCCTACATGGAATATCTCATTTGAGTTTCATTTTCCCTCTCCATCCTGCTTCTTTCCTTTTGCTCATCTCTGAGTTTGATCCTTAGCTCTGTCACTCACCAGCTAAAGCTTTAGTTTTCCAATCATTAAAATGGAGACAATAATACCTGTATCATAGGGATGTTGTATTAAACAACAGTGAAACGTCCATGAGAACAGCAAACTCACTCTCACAACCTTACCGCTCCTTCCTTGAAGGCAGGGCTGTTTTTTCTTTTCTTTTCCTTTTGACCCTCAAAAGAGATGCCCTTTAATTAATAGAAATGAAAAAATTCCAAACACCAGAAAGAGAAGTTGCCCAGGTGATGAGTGTAGTAAATTTTGAGCAAGTGGTAAGTGTCAACTAAACTAGGTCTGAACTTACTTTTCCTCCCCAGTATCTTCACAAGGGCCAAGGAAGTTGCTGGTGTTTTGGGCACGATGCCACTGGAGGGTCTGATTTTTGACAAAGCTAGCTCAGCATGATGTGCAAATACGGTAACCTTTGTTACTCACTGCCTTAGTAGCAAGGTAACGTTCTGCCTTATCAGGGTTCTTTCAGCCTCTGGGTTGGATGGCAAGTTTTTTAACCATATAGGACAGTTAACTCTTACTTGTCAATTTTGATTTGTGAATTGTTTCAGATTTGTGAATTGCTGAGCAACCTGATTTGTGACCTACTACTTGGATCACTGCCTGAAAATATTTGGGAGGCTGTAAAGTGATACAGTCCTAAGGAATATGGTTAGTCATTGGTCCGCCCCCACGGCAGGGTTGCAGGTGACTTGTTTGTAATATGACGTTCTAGGATAACTGTAAAAAATTACTTAGTTGTGAGACTTGAATCATATTAGCATTGTTCAGGAACCAGCCGGTCTTTCTTAATGTATTGTTCTTTACTCACCTTTTTCTACAGCTAACAGTGGATTGGAATACTATAGTCAAAACTTCCTGGACTTTGGTTTCAACCTTGCAAAAAGTGCCAGTTTTCTTTGAAATTTTTTGGAAGAAATCATGAAAAATGGGATCAAATATGATATAAATATAGATATAGCTATATGGATATAGATATATATTTTTTATGTGTGGGAAACAAGTGACTTTTACAAAAATTTCTTCACTACATTTAATCATGTTCTGTGATTGTAGTTAAAACGTGTTGCTTTCACTATGAGGGTGGATTTTCAATGAAATAACAATATTTTAGTATTGGTGACCAGTGGCCTGTGGAGATAACATGGCAGATTATGTCAGAATAAACTGCAAACAATTTAAGTTCAGCTTCAGTAGTCTCTGTTATTCTTTGAATGAAGAGGTATAATCTATTATCTTTTTTTTTTTTTTTTTTTTTTTGAGACAGGGTTTCACTATGCAGTTCAGGCTGGCCTTGAGCTCACTTTGTAGCTCAGGCTGGTCCTGAACTTGCAACGATCCTCCTGCCTCAGCTTTCTGAGTGCTGGGATTACAGGTGTGCACCATGACACCTGGCACAATCTATTATCTTATCCTTTGAACCTGTGCAGACCTTGTGATTTGCTTTTATCCATAGAATGCAATGTAAGGTGTGCAACTTTGGAACTTATTTCTTCACAGACCCTGTAGCGTCCACCACTGCCTTTTGGAATGCAGCCCAGTCTTCCATGTAAAGAAGCCTAATTTTGCTTATCAGACGAGGTGAGGCCACATGGACCAGGGAAGGCCGACCGGCTGAGACCTACATTCCTGGGACTACCGATGCTAGCCAGCATCCACCTGCAACCATGGAAAGGAGGTTATTTTGGGCATTTTAGGTTGTCTAGTCCTAATCAAGCCTCCAGAGGGCCGCAGCTGTGTGAATGACCTGGGGTGAGACCAGGGGAGGAACTATATAGGAACCTGCCTTAGGCTGCTCACCCAGACAGCATGAAGAAATGAGAGAAATTTTAAAAATTCTTTTAAGCCACTCGGTTTTGAGATTTTTTTGTGCATAATGGTAGACAGCTGACACAGAGGAAAACTGAGAAAGCAAGCAGTTGGCCTGCCTGCTGGTTGGGAGAAGGCAGGCAGCTTTGGCTACTTTTGGGCACTGCCCTGGGAAGATAAACTAGAAGCTCTTAGTGCCATGCCTGGATTCCTGGAATCAAGATAAAATACATCATTTTAGGTCTTGCTAAGAGGAAAGAAGAGGAAGGGGAAAAGCATAGCCACAGAAAAGATCTGGGCGGTCCCAGGAATCCCTAGCCACGATCACTGGGAAAGGTTTTTCTCCTCCAAAGCCAGCAGTAACGACAGGAGGAGGTTATTGTGCTTCAAGTTTGAAAGCAGCATATGAAGAATTGAAAAACTGTGATACCACCAATGAAACAAAATACAGCTCTAAAAGAAAGCTGACCCCAAAAGATGAAGATCTACAAGTTACCTGACAAAACGTATAAAATAACCATATTACAGTGTCTTAGTGAGCTACAAGAGAACATACATTTATTTCTTCAAGTAACTTTCTGTCCCTTTCTCAAGCTGTTTTTAGAACATCGTTAAAGAAGAACGTCGATAAGCAAACCAGTGGTGATGTTCTGTAAGTTTCATAAGCTTTCTTCACTTGTCTTTCCTTTTTCTTTTTATTCTTCTGACTGGATAATTTCAAATTATCTGCTTAAGAGCTCACTGATTCTTACTTCTGCTTGATTGAATGTGGTATCTAAACTCCCTGCTGAAGTTTTCAGTTTAAATATTCTACTATTCACCTAGAAGTTTTAGTTTTATTTTTATGGTTTCTATCTCTTTTCAATGGCACATGGAGCGTTCTCCGGCATATGTCATATATTAGTTGAAAATATGAGTCTTGACAAACTTAATGAGATTGAAATCATATAAAGTATCTTTTCTGATCACAATGGTATGAAACCAGAAATCAATAATAGGAGGACAAGTAGAAAACTCACAAATATATGGAAATCAAACAACATGCTCCCAAGAAACAAATATATCCAAGAAGAAAGTAAAAATGAAATAAAAAGCTTGAGATAAATAAATGGAAACAACATACCAAAATTCATGGGGTGCAACAAAAACAGTTTTAATTGGGAAGTTTATACTAACAAATGTTTATGTTAATAAAAAGGAAGACTTCAAATAAACAACCTAAGTTTATATCTCAAGAACTAGAAAAAAAAGAACAAATGAAGTCCAAAGTTAGAAGGAAGTAAACAATAAAAATCAGAGCAGAAGAAATTAAAGAAACAAGAGTTGGTTTTCTGAAAAGATGAAAAAATGGCCAAACTTTAGCTAGACACAGAGAGAGACAGAGAGAGACAGAGAGACAGAGATAGAGACACAGAGAGACAGAGACACAGAGAGAGACAGAGAGTTCAAATAAATTATAAATGAAAAGATGACATTAAATGTTATGATTAAATATAAAGAACTATAAGAGATTACTATAATTGGATAACCTGGAAGATATAAATTCTAGAAAGATACATTCTACCAAGACCGAATCATGAAGACATAGAAAACCTGAATAAACCAATTGTGAGAAATAACCACACAGGGTGAATGAGTAATCAAAAAATCTCCCAAAAAAGAAAATTCCAGGGCCAAATGGCTTCACTGGTAAATACTGCCAAACTTTTAAGGAAGAATTAGGGTTAATCCTACTCAAACTTCCAAAACACTGAAAAAATGGGAGAACTTCCAAACTCATTCTCTAAAGCCAGGATTTCCCTGACACGAAACACAGACAATGGTACAAAAAGAAAAGAAAGTCACAGGTCAGTGACCCTGATGAACATTGATGGTAAAATCTCTTTTAAACACACACACATATGCACATGTGCATGCACACAAACACATACACGCACATACACACAGGCAAACAATTCAGAAGCCTACTGAAAGGATCATTTGTATACCATGACCAAGTGGGATTTATCCTTGGGTTCAATATATGGAAACCAATAAATGTGAAATACCAAATTAATAACAAGAGATATGAAATCCTATGGTCATCTCAATAGATGCAAAAAATTATTTAACAAAAGTCAACATTCTTCCATAGTACAACTTTCAGTAAATCCAGTAGGGAATGTATGTATCTCAACATAATAAAGGCCATACATGAGAAGACTACAGCTGACACATACAGAGATGAACAAACTGTTTATCTTATCATTTTTATTTAATATAGTACTAGAAGTCCTAGCCAGGGCAATTAGGCAAGAAAAAGAAACAAAAGGAATCCAAATTGAAAAAAAAGTTAAACTGTTTGCAGATAACATGATTTTCTAAAATATAGAAACCCCTAAAAACTCCACCAAAAACTGCTAAAACTAGTACATAAATTTAATCAAATAATAGGATATAAAGCCAATACACAGGGGCTGGGGATTTAGCTCAGCGGCAAAAAAAAAACCAATACACAAAAATCAGTTGTATTTTTATACACTAACAATGAACTGAATCAGAAAATAAGAAAATACTACTACTTACGATAATACAAAAAAAGATGAAATAGGCATAATTTTTTTTTTTTTGTCTTTTTGAGACAGGGTCTCCTACGCAGTTCAGGCTGGCCTTGAGCTCACTTTGTAGCCCAGGCTGGCCTCGAACTTGCAATGATCCTCCTGACTCAGTCTCCCAAGTGCTAGGATTGCAGGTGTGTGCCGCCATGCCCGGTGACATAGGCATTAATTTAAACAAGGAGGTGGAAGATCTGTATCGTGAAAACTATAAAACATTGATGAAAGAAATTAAAATAGATACAAATAGAAATATGTCCTGTGTTCATATTGGAAAAATTAATATTGTTAAGGTATTCATATTACCCAAAATGACTTATAGATTTAATATAATCCCTATCAAAATGTCAATGACATTTTCCATAAAAAATTGAAAAAAAATCTTAGAATTTATAAGGGACTACAAAAGACCCTGAATAGTCAAAACAATCTTGAGCAAGAACAAAACTAAGCTGGGTGTGCTGGCGTTGTGCCTGTAATCCCAGACCTTGGAAGGCTGAGGCAGGAGGAACACTGAGTTCAAGGCCAGTGTAGGCTACACAGTGAGTTCAAGACCAGGCTGAACTACATAGTGAGACCCTGTCTCAGAAAAAAAGAAAGAACAAACTGAAAGCAGCATATTTCCTGATTTCAGATTATGTTATAAAACTATAGTAATTCAAACAATGTTGTGTATTTTAAAGGCCAATGGATCAGAATAGAGCAACCAGAAATAAATCTATGCATATATAGCTAGTTAATTTTCAACAAAAGTGCCAAGAATACATAAAAGGGAAAGGATAGTTTCTTTATAAATGAGGTTGGTGGGCTGGGGATGTAGCCCAGTAATATAGCAGTTGGCTAGTATGTGTGAGGTCCTAGGTTCAACTCTCACCACCGCAACCAACCAACAAACAAATAAACCAGATGTTCACACATAAAAAAAGTGAAGGCAGACTATTATATTACACCATACATAAAAATCAACTCTAAATGTGTTAAAGATTTAAGCGTAAGATTTGGAACTACAGAACTCCCAGATGAAAGCATACGGAAAAATCTCTTCAATGCTAGCCTTGGCGACTTTTTGGATATGATCCCCAAACCATAGGCTTTTGGCTTCACATAAAGTAAAAATAAGCAAGTAGTACTACATAAAAAAGCAAAACAAAGCAAAATAAAATAAAAACTTCTTCTTAGCCAAAGAAAGAACTGACAAAATTTAAAAATTGACCTGTGGAATGAGAGAAAAGTATTTGCAAACCATACATCTGGTAAAGGCTTAACATTCAAAATATATAAGGAACTCATAAGACTAAATAGCAAAACAAACAACCCAATTTTAAAAATGGGGAAAAGATCTGAATAGACATAAATAAAAAGAAATAAATTAGTGGATGGCTAATAGGTACAGTATATGGCAATGTACATTTATGGGTATATGACATCACTATTCATCAGGAAAGTGCAGATCAAAGCCACCTCACATTTTAGGATGGCTGTTGTTTAAAAATGTGAGGTATTTATCAAATGGAGTTCAAACAGAGATCTAGAGGAGCTTTCTGCATTCCTATGGTCATTGCAGGCTTATCCATTATAGCCAAGACCTGGAAGAAACCTAAATGTCCATGAGAGGATGAATGGATAATGAAATTGTAGTAGAGGAATAGTATTTAGTCTTCAAAAAGAAGAAAATGCTGTATTTGCAGTAATATAGATGAATACTGTGTTCAGTGAAATATGCCAGACACAGAAAGACAAATATAGTACTGTGTGATCTCACCATATATGAAACCTAAAATAGTCAAGCTCACAGAAACAGAGTAGAATGTTGATTGCTGAGGTTTGGGGGACATGATGGTTGAAGGGTATGCTTCAGGTATGCAAGATACCCATGTTATGTGTATGCTATATTTACCAGAGCACTTATAGTAAACAATACTGTACTGAAAGTGCAAAAAGGGCAGATTTTTTAAAGTATATTTTTAAATATATCTTTGTGTTACCACTGTCTGTGCCCTGCATTTTGCAGAAGCACATATGACATGTTAGAGCCATGCATCTTTTTTTATTTTAAAGAGAAAAGAACAAAAATGAAATAACAAAAACAAAGACAAAAACAAAACAACACTAAACTATAAAAATGGTACAGAATTTCAAAACAAGATAATAGGAAATCAACAACGGTTGTATTACTTATTGTTATCTTCAAAGTAGTTGCTCAGATTATCAGATATAGGCATGCAAGATGGATCAAACAATTAAACATTAACTGTTCCTCTTGTTAATGATTACTTATTTGATCAGTCTTGCATATCTCTATTTTTTTTCCTGAGAAACCACTTTGAAGGTATCAATACATAATACAACCACCTTTGTTGATTTCCTGCCACTTTGTCTGTAATTCAGTATTACTTGCATTGTTCTTATATATTTTATAAATAGATGTCTGTTTGTTAATATGTTTTCCTTCTTTTATTTTTAAAATTATCAGACTGTTCCTTTCAATAAACCAATAGAAATTAGTAGTACAATTATCTTAGCTATCTTGTGTATATATACATATATTTTTTTCCTTTCCTTCTTTCTTTCTTTTCTCCTTTCCCTCATCCCAGTTGTTCTTTCCTATTAAGCACAATATCTATTGTACCTTTCGTGTTATTTACTCTTTCAGTTTCTTATACTAGGGAGACAGTACTGTGTTTACACATGTGAGACTGATTTATTTCACTTATGAGTATAGTCTCTAGTTGTAGCCATTTACCTATAAAAGCCTTGAGTTTATCTTTCTTTATAGCTGAGTAATATTCCAATGTATGAAAATACCACATTTTTCTTATCCACTCCTCAGTTGATGGGCATTTGTATGGTTTCCAGTATTTTCTATGACAAATTGCGCTGCTATGAACATGGGTGCACATATATCTCTGTGATATGATGTTTTCAATTCTTCTGGGAAAATACCTACAAGGGGAATGGCTGGGTTAAATGGGACTTGTAATCCTAATTATTTTGAGGAATCTTCAGACTGATTTCCAAAGTGGCTGCACGAGTCTACATTGCCACCAACAGTGGAGAA